TATGTACTTAAATTTGAGAACTGTTCAAATATATTTAGACAAAAAGCATGGTGTGTTCGTCCCAAGTAGTCAACCTGAAAATATGATGAGAAATAAGAAAACTGGATTGTAAATTTTGGGATGAATCCAGCATATTTGTCACACTCAACGGTCAGTATCTGAATCGAAAACCATGTTTTCCAAGATGTTTATTTAGTAAGCTCAATATCTTTGAAAGCTTTGCGGAGCCGAAGGACTAAACAAATATGACAATGGAGATCTAAATCGATTTCCTATATTTTGTGTGTGCTTGTAACGCATCGAATCTCGACAGATCCGTAAACCCTTTCTGCCGAGGATGCTGATGTTCATTTGTGCATGCTTTATCGGCCTCCTGAGGGCACGTCCATTATCACCACCTCTTCATGCAGCACCTCTACCACTTCCTCTGTTGATTTGCTGGTGCTGTCTGACAATGCACCTACAGCCACTTCACCAGGGTACGAACTGCTATCCGAGTTGCAAGGAATTTTGTAGTTCTTTAAGAAACTTTTTAAAAGTTCAGGAAACTTTCTTGAAGTGCAGACTTTTCTTTAAAGTTGTTAAACTTTGTAGAAACTCACCGAACTTCAGTGAACTTCGTAGAGTTTCATCGAACTGCTTCGGTAACTCTTCCTCTACGTACCTGAAAAAGTTATGAGACAACGACACTTCATACACCTCGCAGCTCGTAATTAACAGTATGGGCTGAATGAGGCTATTCATACTGTCGCTAATGTGATTAGTAACACTTATGCTTTGTTTGACTCTAATGTTCCGTTAACTGTTTTCACTAGAACACTGTCCTGATTTTGAATGTTTCTTTGGTATTATTATTATATTTTGTTTTATGCATTAAGACCAACATATGTCAGATGAATCATGAGCTAAGTTTAGTGAAATTATTTGAAGTTCTGTGATTATGGAAAATTTCAGAAAACTTCGTAGAAGTGGGAACTTTGTACAAGTTTAGGTATCTTCGTAGAAGTTTATTGTTTAATGGCAGGGAACCTCTTTATTATTCAGGGACCTTGTTTATAACTTCAGAGCTTTGATGAAACCTCATGGACTTGACATAGTTCAGAGAATTCCGCACAAATTCAGGAAATTTCGTGCGTCGAACTTTGCGGAAAATCAACGAGAAACGTAAACGTGAAGCAAGCTTTGATGAAGTTTTGTGGACTGCGTAAGAATTCGAGGAACTGCGTATAACTTCATAGAAGAACAGGGCATTTTAAAAAAGTTCAGGGAATTTCGTAAAGATAGAAGACTTCAGGGATCTTCGTTTAGAAGTTTGTCAGAGATCTTAAAAATCCCAATGAACTTCCTGAAGATGAAGATTTTGGACCATCGTTTAATTTCAAGGTAGTTTGAAATTTGAGTAATTTTTCTAAAACTTAAGGAAATTTTGTACATGTTCAGGAAACGTTGCATAAGTAACAGGATATTCTTTCAGATATGCTCCCTAGACAGCCAGGAAGTTTTAAAAGATCAGCATTTGCTGATGTTCTTCTGATTTGAATTAGCGAGTTGCTAAAAAAAGGATGATTTAAGAATGTGCTTAAGTTTTTGAATATCATAATTTTTCAAATGGATAGATCAACTTTCAACACGGTATTTTCCAAATTCAAACCATACACTCTGGCAACATGGTGGCAACATGGTGATTTGATTGGTTGATCTGTTGCAGGTTGTAGCAATAGCTGTACCACTTTCTGGTTTGTTGTAGCGAGATGGTGGCGCTTGGTGGTCACTTTGTGGAATTGGTGCCGATACTCAGGCGCTTTCTTCTGACACTGTTGGTATACAAAGGCAAGGTCGCCCATTATCTAACCGAAAAGGTTATTTCTTCTTAGCGATTACGGACATCGACGCGAAAACGATGCCATCGAAACCCGCAGAGCAATGGTCAGCAGAAGCCACCTAGATCGTACCGTGCCAACCAGAAAGCGATTTGAAGGAACAGAACAGAAGGTCGCTAGACTTGGTGATATTAAAAATTGGAATGGTAAATATATCACTGCACTGGTCTACACGCTCATCTGAGTTAAAGCCAACGATGCCCGCTCATGTCACTATTTTGCTGCAGCTATTTAGCATAGACCGCGCCATCACCCAGTGGGTCACCACTTCTGTTATAGAATTTATCTGAATGCTCGATCACATGAGGCACATTAAAAAAAATCTGTACATTTTTAAAGTAATGGTAACAAAGTACAAGTGAAAGCGTAAAAGTAATACGCCAAGAAAAAAATGTTCTGCAAAAAATTCTTCCACCCATTGAATTATCATAACATTGCTGCATTCGTAGCATTCCGATATAATCTATTCAAAATACGTAACATCCCAAGTAACATTGCAGGTTTTATCGTGGTTTTATAGCATTCTATAAGTCTAAATCATGGTCTACAGAACCCTCATAAAACCAAATTTGTTACTTGGGATCCCATCTAACAATGTATACCAGTTGTGTGATGAATGGTTAAATTACGTTGAAAATGTGTGAACGTCTAGCAACGGTAAAATCCCCGTACTAAACAATACCGAGACACTTTTTGAAAATAACGTGTCAAAAGATGTTAGTCATGCAAGTGCAGTTAAGTGTTGAACCGGAAAAAATAAACAAAGAATATTCTAATTGATCGGCAAATTAATGGCTTTTGCTATTAGAGGATTTTAAGAATTTAAGCACTGCAAATATATGCTAGCTTTCCTCTAAAATAGGAATGCAAACGCAAATGAAATGTCGGTCAAAGCAACCGAACCTTCCAGAACTTCGAGCTCTGCAGCTCTAGCATTAATCGTAGCACATGAGATGAGGCACATGAAATCAGCGCGAGGATTTTTGGGTGTCGCATTTGTTTCTCGCTCGTATCTTATTCTCGCGTGTCTCTTTCTCGCTCGTCACATGTTGTTTTCGTTGCGACGGGAGACGGTTTGTTGAGAGTCTCGGCAGCACATTTTTGCACACACGAGGAAAATGTAACTCTGAGAAAAGCCTTGTTCAACTTTGTGCCGCCACATTTCAATCATCCTGTCGCAAAAAGCCATGCAGGAGACGGATTCTTCATCGCCTTTAACTGGTTTTGCGCATTGGTCACAAGCGGAAGTCATGCTGATTCAGCTTCCAAATCTAAATTAGAAACAGCGGTGTAGATGCTCTAATACGCAAGGAGGAGTTGGATTCTGCAGATCGTCTGATATCGACAATAACAACAGTAAACACTACAAGATGACCGATTAGATAACTTTTTCACTGTTTTCCCAACATGGAAGATGCTCCAAATAGTCGATTATCACAACAAACTGCACTTTCCACTAACAGCCGGTAAAATTTTGCTAGTCTACAGAACGGGATGTGATAAAAATCATCAAATTTAACAGTTCAAAATCATGACGATGTGAATAACAACACTCTCTGTTGCTGTGCTAGGAGGGAGCAGTGGAACCCCTGCCCCCGCCTGTGATTGTTTCATGGCCCATCCCTTCCGACGCCACCTAATGACCCATGCAAGAAGGGAGCCATCCGGTAAGAGTAAAGTTCAAGTCACTTTTTCAAGATTTCCCAAAAATCATCCTTCACCGATCAAAGGTTATCTGGCTCACACACACACACACATACTAAATTCATATACCGATGACCACCACCAGGGACTTTTCGCTTTTCGATCTATAAATCAACTTCAACGCTATTGCCGGAAAAGGGGGTACTACAGATGATTCAACAAGAAGAAACAGATACGCACCCTTTTCGGGTAGGACGAGATAAGCGGAAATTTTTGATGCTCTAGTTTAATCGATTGAGAGAAGAAAAAAAATCCTTTTGATAATGGCCCCGAAGGCCTTCCGTCCGTCTATCAGCAGATTACTTCCTAATGGATTGTGATATAGTTCATATGTCAAGAGCTAGATCCCGGGAACAGTTTCATAGAGCTGATCAAAGTTTCGGTCGCACGAAAGTCTTTGTAATTTATTGTAATCAGATTAAACTGACAAAATCTCCGGAGAAAAAGTTGGAAGCAGAGCGCTCTGCTAAGGCAATCCGGAAATGTGTGCAAATTATTCTATCTGTATTCGATTCCCAGCTGCAAACGGAACAGCACTTAATCCGTTTCACGTAACTTACATCTGCGAACCGTCAGTGAAATAAGATACAAGAAAGATGTCTTGAGACTTTTGTCCACCGTCCCCACCCTCTCCCAGCCGAGAAAGCACTCGTTATAATTCTCACAAAGGACCAACCGAACGAACAGACGGACAGTGCTGCAACTTTGACCTGTCAGAGGATATTCTACCGAAGTTGACTTTGGTGATAGTTTCGTAAATTTAAATTATATGGCTATGCGTTCGTTCCACACTCAGAGGAAGCGAATTTCTCCAAATTTTGTACCCCATCGGGTCGGGTCGGGTGGACAAAAGAACGAGTGCCAAAATGAGTGACGCTCTGCCACACCTCAAGCCGGAAGTAGGTACATTGAAAAGAAACCAAAGTGAAGTGCAGATTTGCATTCTTCCGCAAGACGAAGCTTGGATTAATTTTACAAGAAAATTACATTAACTGCCATTTTCCAGCGGGTAGTCCTTCACGTACCACCTACTCCAGGGAAATGTGTTTGACTGAAGTTCGTGAGAATAACCGGAGGAAAAGCGAGAAGATAATGCATTCTATGCCGCTTCGCTTTGCTTTTTCAAGTCTGCTTGGAGCTGCAAGTATTTGCGATGACGGAATTTAATGAATAGCGTAAATAGCTCTTCGCTGCAGCCCAACGCTGGAAGTAAAGTATCACCCGTAAGAATACTCATTATCATAGGCAGCGGCGGATGTTCGAAGACAGTTGGAAAAGATACTGGCACCAACCAGAAACTGAAACATAAGATTCCCGATTTTTACCACAGAGCTTGTCAGGGAAATCTTTCCAGCGGAGAAAACGAAAATATATGAAGCATTGAGTTTTATAAAATAATGTTGAACTTTGAAACATGCTCGACCTGCTACCAGCTGTCAACTATTTTATTCTAATAACATGACTTAAGTATACATTCAATTAGTTATACTGAGTACGTGCTGAGTACAATCTCCTCCATGACATTTGCACTGAACAAGTGGTGGGATCAAAATGGGGTTGAGGTCATAAAAAAGGGATGATTTTTACGTCAAGAATAGAAAAGGTACAGAACTTTCATGGATGTGCCGGGAAATGTAACCACCAGACTGGCGAACCCGTCGCCTATAAATGTCATTTCTGCTCCACATAAAATGTCACTCAAATCTTTGGATCATATTCGGTCAGCTTTACCAGTGGCTTGGAAGCCTCCCACAGTTTACCCTGAAGCTCCTTGTTCTGTACATGGTCATTGATTTCCGTTAGCTTGCAGCCACGGAAGTACTTTCCGCTGATCGATTCCACCTCTGGTGACACCGTCAAGTACAGCGTAGTTCGGGCACCTTCCTCCGGCGTACGCAGACACCATTGAATCGGTTTGAACAGCATATTCAACGGGAACGGGATGTTACGCCAGATTCCGGTATCGATCACTCCCGGATGGAGACAGTTGGCTGTGACGCGGGTTCCCTGCAGCCGTCGAGCCAATTCCTGGGTGAACATGATTTCCATAAACTTGGACAGATTGTACAGCTTGGTCGGGAACAGAGTATTCGTGGGGTTGATATTGCTCAGATCTTGCTTCATTCTGGCGTAGCGGTAGAGCTTGGAGGAAACGACCACAATTCGTCCTTGGTCGGATTTCTTCAGGAGGTCGATGAGCAAGTGCGTCAGCAGGAACGGGCCATAGTAGTTGATAGCCAAGGTGAACTCCAACCCATCGGAGGTGACCATGGTTTTGAGACCCTGGGCAACACCTGCGTTATGGATGAGGACATCAACGACTGATTCCGTAGTGATGATGTCCTGGGCGAAGATGCGAACCGATGCCAAGGAACTCATGTCGACGTGTTTGATAATGATGTTTTTGTTTTTGGATTCGGCAATGAATTCATCTGTAAATAGAAAAAAAAGGAATGTCATTAAGGCTTTGGTCTTCAAAGAGGGGAGAGAGGTCGGCATAAGCTATAGCAGAATGCGATATGAAAAGGAGCGTATCTGTTATGATTTAATAACTGGCAACAATGTATGTATAAATAATCATTTAATAAAGTTACGTTTATTTGCAATCTTGACATTTTGGTGACGAGGTATAAAGTTTTGATTAGATTCGTGGAAACGGCTCCGGATCGAGTGATTAAACTGTTCGAATCATGTGATTGAGTTCGGAAACTGTGCTGTTACGTTCCGAGAGGTTGATTTGCTTTAGAAAAATCGACGAAAAATAGACGTGTGGACCAGTCAAAAAGTGAACAAAACATCTGAGTGGAATCCAGTAGAGCTGCTGCTGAATGTGGGTAGCAGAGTAAAAATTGTAAGTTGAAAAGTGAATACGCCGAACTTGCGAATAAGAAAATTTTGAACATGGAACCCAACCCATCGTTACCGCCGTTTGACACTGCCGATACTTCTTCGGTTGGTACCCGCTGGAGAAAATGGAAACGGTCATAAGAATAATTATTGTTTCTGGAGGTAAACTGTCCTACTTGCTGCATTTTGCAGGGACTGAGGTTCAAGATATTTTCTAAGAAATTGAAGGCCGTAACGCTCCAGCTCCACCTGGCTCGGATGGATACAAGCAAGTTATCCGACTGTTGGATGCACATTTGCTTCATTGGCTAGCATCCCGTACGATCGGTACGTTTTCCGAAGTGTGGAAAAGTTAGTCATTCGATTGAGGAAACAGGGTCGTCTCTACGAGTTCGGGGGTGTACTTGATATGCGTTTTAAGGGGGAAAATGTTTGAGAATTGCCGCTATGTTGTTTTGAAGAAGAAACTCCTAACGGTAGTGGCTATTGTGGAAGATGCGCGAGTTTTGGAAACCGTCCTGAGAAATAAGGAGGAGATGAAGAGAATGTCCGCCTCATTGGACGAGGCGAGAGTTTTTCGCCAATGACAAAGGGTGTCCGGCTAAGAACAAGGTTTGTGAAAAGTGTAAAATCATCGGAAATTTCCGTATAATGTGTAGAACAAAATCGGAAAACAAGCACGGTGCAGCGAAAAACAAAAATAAGAATAAGAAGAAGAAGAGCCGAGTGGTTCGGACGACGGTTAAGTTTTTTTTCCTTTGGTTTGTTTTTACCGTCGTTCTTGTTTTTCGTGCTGAGCACCAATGCTACCGACGTGCCAGGAAGGCAGCTCCCACACCTGGACCCTACCTATCGACCCATCAACTCATGAACCGGGGACCAACGGCTTTACTTCCCATCCGACGGGACCAATCGGCCACCACTAGATGAATGTGAAACGTCTTTTCAAATATAAGGACCGTACATAAAGGGTGATACGGTCAAAATTTGGTCAATATCAACTTGACGTATTTCTTTCAATTTTGCATTTGAAAAACCTGAACACCCCTCATTTTGAAGGTGTGTGTGTGTAGAATGTTGCTCCTATTTTGATTTTGGAATTCACTCTTCAGTTGTCAAAATGCCGTCCAAGCAAGAAGAGGAGCGTATCAAAATTTTGCTCGCGCATCGCGAAAATCCGAGCTACTCGCACGCAAAGTTGGAAAATCGCTAAAAGTTGCCAAATCAACCGTTACAAATGTAATTAAAGTGTTTGGGGAACGTTTGTCGACAGCCAGGAAGTCTGGATCGGGGGGAAATCTAAAACCGGAAGCCGCTGTGACGACAAAGAGAGTTGCCGGTAGTTTCAAGCGAAACCCTAACCTCTCTCTCCGAGATGCCGCAAATAAGCTGGGTGTATCGTCTACAACCGTGCATCGAGCCAAAAACGAGCCGGACTATCGACTTACAAGAAGGTAGTGACTCCAAATCGCGATGATAAACAAAATACGACGGCCAAAGCGCGATCCCGGAGGCTGTGCACGACGATGCTGACGAAGTTTGACTGCGTGGTAATGGACGACGAAACCTACGTCAAAGCCGACTACAAGCAGCTTCCGGGACAGGAGTTTTATACGGCAAAAGGAAGGGGAAAGGTAGCAGATGTTTTCAAGCACATGAAACTGTCAAAGTTCGCAAAGAAATATCTGGTTTGGCAAGCCATCTGTACCTGTGGCTTGAAAAGCAGCATTTTCATAGCTTCCGAGACTGTCAACCAAGAAATTTACGTGAAAGAGTGTTTGAATAAACGTCTGCTGCCTTTCCTGAAGAAACACGGTTGTTCCGTACTGTTTTGGCCGGATTTGGCATCTTGCCATTACGGTAAAAAGGCCATGGAGTGGTACGCCGCCAACAACGTGCAGGTGGTTCCCAAGGACAAGAACCCTCCCAACACGCCAGAGCTCCGCCCAATTGAGAAATACTGGGCTATTGTCAAGCGGAACCTAAAGAAGACCAAAAAAACTGCTAAGGGCGAGCAGCAGTTCAAGGCAAACTGGCTTTCTGCGGCGAAGAAGGTGGACAAGGTGGCTGTACAAAATCTGATGGCAGGGGTCAAGCGTAAGGCCCGGCAATTCGGATTTGGAAAAGCGGAAGCCTAACTGAATATTTTTCCTGAATTTTATACTAATTGAACTTGAAAAAGAAATTTAATTTGATTTTTTAAATAAGCGATTTCACCGATTTACACGCGTTTTCCCTTGACCAAATTTTGACCGTATCACCCTTTAAATAATGATACAATTTGAAATGGACTGGGGCTAATCACAAATTATGTCCCAATGGTAACTGAAATAAACACGAGTGCTCACCGGTTGCTTCAAGTGCGCCTTTTGTTTTCGAGATCTTATTTTGCGTTCTTCAACACTTCGTCTTACAGCTATTGAATAGAGCATATTACCAAACGTTTGTTTAACACTTTCACGCCGAAATCATAGATATATTTGATGGTTTGTGCTTGATAGGCCGATTGGGCGATTAGGCCGAAGAAGATTTTTCCCCTATGGTAATTTTCATTTCCTGTTCTACCCATTTTTGATTGGATCAGTTTTGACCTATCTGGATACATTAGGCCTTCCTATTTCTTTGCAGTTTTAAGTAGAAATATTTAGAGGGAGAGATAAGCGGAAGGAATGTTTTGAGCCAAATGAACTGTCAAATTCTGAGCCAATCAATTTTCAAACATTCCCATTAGAATTTTTCCGAGGATTTCTTATTCTTACTAGATTAAATTTGAGAGTATTGCAATCAAACAGAAATTCATCCACCCTTATGTTTCGTGTGCATCTCAAATTCAACTAGTTTTTTTTGAATAAAAAACAATATTCTAACTCTATTGATTAATTGATATTAGTCGGTTCATTAATGGCACAAAGAAATGTGCAAATATTGCGATGTAATCAATTATTATTTTGCACGTAAATCGAATCAAAAGTAACAGTCATGTGAAATGCTAGCTTATAGCAAGGGTTGCAAGATTATTTAGGTACAAATCCCTGCTGTCGAATTGTATTTTGTTTTCTCCGCCCATCTCTCCCTCTGAGTATTTCTAGTTTTAAGATAGCGTGCACGGCGAATGAGAACGACCCAAATTTGAGTTTAGTTCACTCTTAATCGCCAAAAATACAGGAACGCAGCGATGAGTTAAATATTTCTCATGGTTTCCTGTGGAAAACCTAAAAAATCTGCCGGAAAATGAAGAAATTGACGAAAATTTTATTCAGTCTCGGAGTAGTACTAATAGACTGAGTGAATCCAATCTTTAATTTTATCAAATTCAGGAATTTTTCCCTGGAAAAACCTGGAAAAACATGAGGCAAATTTACTCATCGCTGAGTTCCTGCAGTTTTGGCGATTATGAGTGAAGTAAACTCAAATTTGAGTCGTTCTCATTCGCCGTGTGTGAAGTAGTCCACGCTTAAATATACACAGCTGCTCATAGCATACTCAAAGGCGTTAACTCGTTATTATTATTTATTCACTGACGCACACGGTAAAAAGTTATCACATCTAATCCAAATGCTCTTGCGCTTGATTCAGTATGTTATGCGGCACTACGGATCGAAGTGATTTATCATTGATTTTCAAGTTATTTGCGTTTTGAAACAAAGTGATTTGTTGTTGATACATATGTACTGTATAACACCGTTAAATCAAAATGATTATCATTTAAATCAGCACCACTGTTTTCATCCATTGAATTTGATTAGTTTTGCTTTTGGAAGCAAATGTCAAAACGTACATGACAAACATTACTCGCGAAGATGGCAAGCCTACAACAAATGAAGTCAAGCGGAGAAGCGACAATTAACCACTTCATTCGAGCAGATAAAATGACGTTTACTACCACTCGAACTTTGAAATGAAACATTATTTTAAGATTTTTTCTTCTAGAACCTCGAGAAAAGTAGCCAACATTTGTGCGTTTCACAAAAAAATAGAAATTAGTTGGTCCAGTTTTGTGAAATCGCTGGTAGAAAGTCACGCCAAAACTGCTTGACAAAGTGGTCAATTATCCATCTCCACCCGAAATAATTTGCGTTCTAGAGCGTGAGTAATACGAAATTGTTGCTGTAGTCAATAATAGTGTTGTTCAGATAATTTCGATTACAAAACAGTGTCAAACTTATCAAATATATTGCTCAATGTCTCGCCTTGCTTCTACTAAAAGCCTTGCGATGTTGTTCAATGTCACTTGGAAACATGTGATCTGGGTAGTAATATGATATGGTCAAATTCGGAATAACATAGAACAAGGCTTGCATTTTCAGCAAAAATTCAATCCACGGATAAATTATTTAAACTTAAAGTGATAGTTTGTTAATATCAGTATGGTTGACATTTCGAGTTCAAAGCTCAGCACATCAACAACAATGTGCAATACAATCTAAAATGAAGTGATTTGCTGTTGATTTCATCGTGTTTCGATATGATCTCTTCCAAGGGATTTTCACATCGAATTGCAATGTTTGACAAGTAGTGCAAATTCAACAGCAAATCACTTTACATGAACATGATGTTTTTTTACGGTGCATTTGAAATATCAATT